TGTGCTTCTACTTCAGGTAAGAGAATCTAGATCTAGATCTATTGAAAAGCGCTAAACGACAACAACAAACAACAATAACAACAATAACAACAACAACAACAACAACAACAACAATAATAATAATAATAATAATAATAATAATAATAATAATAATAATAATAATATAGTATATTGAGCTTTGAAGGGTAAGTAATCGAAATTGCCAGCTGTAGTACAAATATAAAAAAGATTAGTATGAAAAAAGATACTCTATCTGTAGCATTGCTGCTTTTTCTGGTGTGACGCACACAATATGAGATTTTCTTTAAATTAAATTTTTAAACAAGGTGTACAATGCGCGTTAGGCATTTACATGTATGTAGTAAATCATTCAAATATCTTTTTTCGCAAAATTATGATTCTTTAATCCTATTTTTTTAGTTCTTCGTGTTTATGTTCACCGTTAATAGATATAAATGTTAGCAATCAATTGTATATCATGTACCCATTCATTTGTGAAGGCAAAAAAAAATGACGTGTTTTGGGATGGTGAACAGGATTACATGTTGGTAATACTCCATTGCAAATTTGATTAATGCGTATTATTTCACTAATTCGTTACTTAAACAGAACAAGAGCAATGGCCTAATCAATTAGCAAAAAGAAAGCTTACTACGCAGAATGTCGTCAACCAATACCGAAAGTAAAACTAATCATTATGAAAACGTTTATGAAAACATATTCATCAAAATTTTATTGAGCCAAGTATTCACAATACTAGAAACGTAATGACTTATTAGAAACTAATAACATTATAACATTATAAGGTTTTTATAACAGAGATGTCAACAGTACACCAGAAATACTTAAAATTGGCACATTTATGGTATCCAGGTTAATGGTAAGAGACAAATCCCTGAAACGTATGGAATTCAGTATTACGACTTGCGAATTACACGTGTGTGTAAAATTAGCAAATCCCAAAGGCCAAAAGCATTCTCGAATCGTTATTGCCAACAATACAATACAATAAGTGCAACATGTTACGTCACCAGATCGCCTTGTCTATTGCCACTAAAACAAGACAGACAACTTGCACACCAATACCACACTTCTGTGATAATTGGACAATTGTATCAACGATCGCACAGGGGAATAACAGGGGAATAAATTCTTTACTTTACCTTATTTCCAGTAACGTGACCAAATTAAAAGAAAACATTGAGTTGTTCGGAATATCATGTAGAGCAAAAACATCCGCTCATTACGCAAATGATAATCTCGTATTGTAGGCGAATTGCACCATTGTTCGACAGAATGCGTTCACGGGATTTGTATTATCAACCCAGAAAATGTAATAACTTTGAAAAGGGACACAATATGTGATTGGATTAAGGGGCTTGTTGCAGCTTGTAATGTCATTGCCTTCCTCGGTTTTGTTATATTTTTAGTTGCATTTCCCTTTATTTAAATTAAAATTCGTTTCCGAGGTACATGTGTGTCGCAAAGCTTTCCGCGTCTATTGAAATGACCTTTTTCGACTGACTCTATCTAGATTGTGACGATTGTTCGTTAAATACATAAACTAACTAGGTTTAAACACATTCGTCTCAATACCCATAATTTATTACACCCGATGGTGTTTTTACAAGAAAAAGAATTGCTGTTAGCGTCAGACTTGTATTCGACCTGACACCATTAATTTTCTTTACTGACTCAATTATTGGAGGATTTTTCACTCGAATGTGCAGTGTGATCATACAAATGATTTGATTTCCCCTACGCCTTCGTACCCAATATCTTATTCAATCTTATCCAACAGAGAATTCGTAATGCGATGCATGGAAGATACTTGCCCTTGGCGATACATGGCGCGTTCACATGTGGAATAGGGCCACCCAGCCTGGCGCGACCCTATTTAACCCAACTAATCGAACAGGCAACAAGTGTGAATGGAATTATTTTTGGTGAACTAATGATATATATTCATTGCAACTCATATTTTTTTAAATTGTACATGTACGATATTAGATTAGGGACGGGGTCGATCTACCTGACCACCTAGCGGTCAGTGAATATCAACATCTACTCACATCAGTTTGATGAAGGCCTTCGCCCAGGTTGGCCGAAAGCTAACAGTACGAAAAATATTTCGGCTTGTGTTTGATAATTTTCATTTATGATATTAGGGTTTGTTTAAATCCGATAATTAACGTCTTGTCCTAATCACATGACTGACGTCAGCTCCGAAAATTAGGGCTAGAAACAATGAAAGCCGTATTTTACCACTACATAGATGCTTCTACATGTACAATTTTAGCGTGCATCCTTTTTTTTCAGGAGTTCACGGCTGGGATCAACGTGTATCGGCCGTTTGGTCGCAACTGGCACGTTCAGTCTGCGTTCAGGAGCGGCTCCCCGGGGTACGAGCCTTGCCCGCCCATCCCAGAGCAGCCGTATGTCTCTTGTGCTGAGGTGTGTGTCTCACTTAAGATCATGTAGCGTCAAGTAATTATGATCAAATTATATGGGAAGTTATTCAGAAATTAACACTGCGTGACATGTGTGAGATAACGTTACATTCCAGATTAGAATTGATAAAACAGTCGTTTCTAAAGAGCGTGTTGGTCATTAACACTGCTATGTCGTGTCCAATGTGACATCTGAATTATCTCAACTAACACACTGCTTCAAGTGTAGGTATGCCACACCCAATACAATGCTGCACTGTGAGCGAAAGCTCTCTCTCTCTCTCTCTCTCTCACACACACACACACACACACACACACACACACATCCAGACACACGCGCTCGCATGTACACAAACACACAAACACATTATTGCTTTTACCATGCTTTTAACATTCTGACCTTGACTGACCTAATCCTACCGTGACTTTTTAAATCATTTTCTCAACATTTCATCGTTATCTCGCCAGGTGAAGTCGAACTGTCCTCCCGGCACCCGCTGTTATCCGCCCCAAGTCCGTCTTCCCGAGCCATGGTACATCCCCAGCCGATGCCGCCGATACTCTCCGCCTATATTGTGTGTAGTCAATGAGGAAGAATAGGATGTCCAGAAAAAACTTTTTGTAATTTATTTCATACACGAAGTCAATAAAAAACATTTGCTCACAATGATGGACAAAAACAAGATGAAAAAATTGATGTGACAATGACCATTTTTTGGAAAACTGTAGAAATGTCTCGTTTCCAAATTTTGCCATTTGCTTATTTGGAGATGTGTCCAGTGGGAAAATATAAGATTAGGATGACTAATCCAATGGAATATTGTTTTTTCTGCCGTTTAGAAAATAAACTCGTTTTACTGTAGATGGTGTATCCACAACAACAGTCTTCATAGAGAATGTAATGTTGTATTACAGGAATGATGTATTTCTTTCTCGCACATGAAAATGTAATTTATACATATCTGAAGGACAAAAAATTACTGCGTAGTATAAACTGCCTTTTACCATACAACTTTTCTTTTATTAATAAATGTTTATAAAATGTGTCTGCCGCATCTCTTGCAATAGCTACAGTATCTACAAAAATGTTTATTAATATATGTACATGTACTCGTGTATACCTATGATACTTTGCTTATCATTTCTATCAACAAACTGTTTTCATTCTGCTATAGATATCAAACGTTGATAATAACGATAATGTTGTTTTTCGTTTCGTGGTATCATCGCATACAGCATGTCTGGCAGTAATAGCATATCCGAATTTGGTCCTGACACGAGAAAAACTACTGTATTGAATAAATGGCCAAATAGCGAGTTGGCGGTATTTGAACTTACAGCACTGCTTTGAACTTAACAGAGAACGGGAATAAAATGTCTATACAAATAAGTGTTTCAGTTAGTCTAACATGGGACTGAACATTGTCTTCCTTCTTTCTTTCTTTCTCTCTTCCCTTTCTCTATCATTCAATTATGTCTTTTTATGTAACTACTATTTTCCCTCCGTTTTTCTTCTTTCTTCTTATTAGGAAGACGAATCTCTTCTCAGATGCATCATATTTATATTAGCATAATTTGTGCATTTTGTGTTCTCGAAATTTTAAAACTGTCGAGCTTAATTATTTAGGGCACATTGCTGAGGTCGAGTGAACATGAATGTTTCTTTCACCTTTGTTTCGATTTACGTATAAATTCCATTTAGTTAAATATTTGAAACATATCCAATTTTCCCCATCGAGACAATATTGAAAATATACCGGTAGGTCTGTGAATTACTTTAATAACATGTTACACAGGCGGTGTGCACGAAATGATACTGCTCTTGTACCAGCATTTATGTTTCCTCTTAATTGTTCTCATTATATAGAGTGTGATATACCTTCATATTACAATAACTGAAACATCGTTTTTATAATAACTGAATCGCTAAAACTAAATTGCGTTTGAAAAGGATATGAGCCCTTCGGTAATAGGGATTATTCCCATATTGTTTCTGGCAGTTTTAAGCAGTTTAGGTTTAAAGTAAAACAGAATGACACCGAATTCCTTGGCCTGAAATACAATAACAGTCGATCAGTTTCTAGAAGCATGCTTAAATGGCAGAACGCGGTGTGTGTGTGTGTGTGTGTGTGTGTGTGTGTACGGGGAGAGAGAAAACAGACTAGGTGAACGCACACACATCTCCGATCATTAAATGGGACAAAAATATCCATGAACAACACTCCCCCCGCTTTATTAATGATTGGATTATAATAATTAACAATGATTTATCAAAATTGCTTCAACACCTTATATATCCCAGGGAATAACTAATGCGCAAAACTTTTATTCCCCTTAAGCCCTTTATAACTGCACCAGTATTTTGAGAAATTAAATGACTGATACACTCATATTAAAAAACATCAAGACTGCATCAGTGACACGGGTGGATAAGGGACAGTCATAAACAGAGGTTAACGAGGCTGCCATTCGACTGTTTAAACCACAACTATTAACTATTATAATGTTTTTTGCTTTTGCAAATATCAACAGAACACAATAGGTCAGAAAAGCGGCAGAGATGATGACGGAAATTTCGGCAAGAATTGCCGTCATTCTTGCAATATGCACGGAACTTTCGCTGGGGTTCTCAGGTAGGTTGTGGGTGCTACGAGATGTAGGGAAAATATTAATTTGTACAGCCGGATCTGTGGACACTTTCCTTGGGGTTGGCCCAACCAGAAAAATATATTTGACATTCTAGGTAAATGCCACGTCTGTTTCATGTCAGCTACGGTAACATATTAGATAGGCACAGATATGCCGGGCTTATTATGGATAGATAACGATTGGATGTATTTGGCAGATCTCGTATTAGCTGGGTCCTGTTCACTAAACAGCGTCAGACCAAAACTGGTCTAATCTTTTAGACCAGATATTTAGTCTATTTTTACCTATGATAGATCAATAGTAGTCTAAAAAAATCGAAATATTGCACTCGTTATGAAACAGTTAACATGACTACCTTTTTAGACCTACTTTAATTCCGTAGACCACTGTACTTTTTTAATGAAGAGGACTAAAATACTGGGCTAAATCTTAAGCCCAGATTTCCGTTTAAGCTGCTCTGATTTCTCACACCTCAATGGCCTAGTCTAAACAGCTGTTGGAATATTCAATGAATAACTTAATTACAGTTCTACGCAATGGAGGCCATGATGACACGATCTAATGTATAAAGCATCACTTTACTGCCGCTTAATTTATCATCAGTATAAATCATATATGAATGGAATATGGAATTTAGATCGACATTCTCATTATAAGTCAATATACGATTGCGCCCTTATTCATAATTGTTATGATATGATTGTGATGTACTCTTAGCGCCTGTATTACTGTATTTGATATATAATTGGAATAATATACGATGTAAGTCGTTGAATTGTCATAGTTATTATATATTTCTCATTACTTTATGTGCAATTTAGCACATATTTCATAGGCTAAGGCCGATTAAAACAATCAATAACATCCGAACGCCGTCGCATTATGTCCTTGTTGGGAGTTCGCTTCAATGAATATTTTAATCTTATGATGACAAAAAAACAAACTTTTATCGACATAGCCTGTCTTATCTTTAAGCTTACAGTCTCACTCTGCTCCATGAGTAAAGTTAGCTTGCAGGCGTGAGACCATTCTTTTCAGAATATTTGAATTCTTTTTTAAAATTTATATACCCATATATCTTTATACAATATTGTTTTGTTTGGTTTATTATTATAGAATGTCCAGAAGGGTGGATATATAACTATAGAAACGCACGCTGCTATCAGTTCAACCACTTTCGAAAATGTTCATGGGAAGTTGCCCTGGCCAACTGTAGACTAGAGAGAGGAGACCTGCTGTCTTATGAGAATCAGGGTGAAAAGGTGAGTAAAATTCAACACTGAAAGCAAAAGGGTCGTCGTTTCAGCTGATATGATTACCATGTTGGGTATTCAACACGTTATATCGCTATAGGTGATATTGCAATAATGTTTATGAAAGCTCAATTGTGTGCCATGCGTTCTACATGCATATTAAGAGCATCTGACTGAAAAATGGCAGAAAGAGAATAATAATAATAATAATAATAATAATAATAATAATAATAATGAAGCAGTCTTTAAGACCACGATCCACATTTGTCGCAGCGATGTGTAAAATGTTGAGATAAAATGTTAATATATCTGAATCAGAAATTCTCAAACGCACAAAAGGCCCGCATGTGCTTTCACTTATAAAACCATTAACAGTGCTAATATTGCTTTCTAATGGCAACAGTGAGGCAATTCAGCACTCAAAAATCAATCAAGGAGGATTAATCCGATTAAACTGTTGATAAGAATTTAAAACATATTATAGTCAAATTACGCCCACCAACCGTGTTCATTACTCCATATAATAGCAGTTTAGCACTTCTGTATAATACTCTCTCTCTCTCTCTCTCTCTCTCTCTCACAAACACACTTATCTTTTTATTTATACTACACTTTTTCTATGCTGTTGTCAATCAGTCGAATTACCATATTGATTACATTTTTAGTTGGAGTAAAATTGCAAAATCTAATTTGGTCTAGGTATATATAGAACATCAGTGTAGTCTGTAGTCTCCTGATCTAAAACGGTTCATGTTACCAGTATATTTCATTATGTAAACCATTCACAATCTCATATTTCCCATTTTATTGTTATATATTTCTAATAATATAGTGCTACTAATTATCTTAATCTTCGATAAGTTAATTACTCGCAAAAAAGCAATCACTTCATCATCTTCTTGACTTCCCGTCATTTGATAGACATCAACTCAAAATAAACATCATTCCATATTGATATCATCCCATATATCATCGACACCAAAGGAGACACCCAGTCTGGGACAAAGTGCTATTAGTCGATTACACTAAGGTCTTTTACTAAATACCAGTAGACCACTTATATAAAGTACACAGAAGTGTCCAGTTGCACCACAAATCTTTAGACCAAGTTTCAAAAGAGTCGAAAAGAAGGTGTAAAAATGGTCATCCCACAAGCAAAGCAAGTACCGCAAGGAACAAAACTTTGACTCATTCTATTCGAGATAATGAGAAACGATCTCTTTACGACTGGCGACTCGTTCCGACGACTGAAACCTCAGGCCTTTCAGCTCTGGAAATGACACCCTATAAAAGTGAAGGAATATATAAACGACACAGCAATTGCAAGAGTGGAATCTGTGGAATTGTGGCCTTCAGATTTAGCCAGGGCATAATCTGGGATAAACCTGTACACCATGCCTAAACTGAGGCTAGTCAACAGTTACACCATACTAAAACGAGCCAGTAAAACAGTAAACGGGCTATCTAGCATTTAAATGACAATATAATAAGACCAACACTGGCGTCCGCGTGTCAGGTTTGACACCCTAGCTTCACAAACAGTCATCGTCATTATTATTATTATTATTATTATTATTATTATTATTATTATTATTATATTCCTACTAGGACTGGGTCCTCAAGAACATGGTGGTCAATTTTTACTGGTCAGGGCTAAATGACCGTTATGAAGATGGGCGCTATGTATGGACTGACCACACGGAGTATAACGCGACACTGGTGTAAGTTCCGTAAATGAGTTCATATCAGTCACAGAGCCTGGCTTAGATAGAAAAGTAATACCGCTGACTAAAAGCGATTAAGCTGTTATCATGTTTCCTTAAGCTGTCCTTCATACAATATAAACTAAGGTTCATGTACTTAGTCACATGCATATAGTCGTGTTGCTTTAGATTTTTTTTTTTTTTTTGGAGGGGGGGGCTAGGAAGTGGAGAAAGCGACAGCGAAATAGCCTAGTGTTAGGTTCCTGTACTCTGTTTTTTCATCAAATTTGTATTTTTTCCAGGCATTGGGCACCCAGAGAACCTAACAATTGGGGCGGCAACGAGGACTGTGCTGTGGCCATAAGTAATGGAGATATGAATGATATGTCGTGTGATTGGAATATACCGTATATATGTAAACGACGACCAAAAGGTCAGTACACCATGCAGCAGATATATCTTCATATTTTGTCTATTTTATGATTTCTCTCTCTCTCTCTCTCTCTCTCTCTCTCACACACACACACACACACACACACACACAACCACGCACGCATGCATACAAAAAGTTAGTAACAAAAAGCGTTCGAAGTAATACCTGTACGGTATGACTTTTTGCCCCAATCCAAATATAACTGATACACGGTCTTGTGAACGGCATCCCCCATATTTATATTGTACAAATAACATGAATAATTAGATACGCTCTGTCCGATGTGCCAAGTGCTATGACGTCACACAGGGTAATAGCATGACGTCACAACGCCCTAACACAGGACTTCATTCTGCACTCCTACATAAATATCACACCTACACTTACGGGATTGACTTTGTCCTTAGTGTGTCGTGTGTTTATTTTAGATGGACTCTGCCTATCTCTAAGTGCACGTTTCTCTATTATTTTTGTAATAAATTAGTACCCATTTTTCTTTCATTTTAAATCGGTGAAGAAAAAAGTGGCCATGAACTGGTCAATATGGTCAGTGTCAGTGTCTGGTCAGTGTCTGGAATTCGCACATAGTCTCAAGCACCAACATGATCTTGTCCGTCGGAGCTAATTTTAAACACTTCTGAGTCTAATCATACTAACGCATAATTTGTTTTTTTATAAATAACTTTTTAACATATTTTAACTTTAAAGTCTATGTAATAAGATAGGTTTAAAGCGAAAGGTAGATCAGACAGCCCACTCAGTAGGCCTACTATTAATTGCGATATACCGCTTCAGATTTCGTTTGCTCATTCCCCAATATTTTAAATTATCAACAATATTTTAAATTATTAACCATATTTATTGACAATTAACGCTCTCAATAAATCATCATGTGGGTTCTGTTTCACTCACGTATTTCACACATTTCACTTCATTCATGGCAAATTATGCTACAAAGCATGCGCATTAAGTGAGCTATTATGCGGGTCAAGGGTCATATTTATACCTCGCGTCTTTTAAGACATTCTCATTCACACTTACAAGGAACTTAAACAAATAGGTGAACAATGCGATATCAAGCGTGGAAAGTCTGTCTTGTACTGGTAAGACTTTTTTGTTACTTGTACTAAAGCTAGAATTGCTGCTCCATCAAAACAGCAGAAAATCCCTTTTTGTCTGCCTATTTATTTAACTATACCATATGATTTTTTTTCACTTCTAAAATTAATTATGAAAATTACATTAGAATTAATAGAAAAAGTATAACAAGAACAAAACTTATAACAGAAACTTCTGTTACTTAGAAAATTAAACCGTTTGTATCCATCAAAAGAGGATTGTAAAATACTGCATATAAATTAATTGTCCGTGTATTCATCACAAGTAAGTCTTAATCAGGCAATGCCTTTTTGACCTAGGTTCTGTGCTGCTGCTTGCTAAGCGCCGTAAATGCACGCAAAAAGAAAAACAAAAATAGGAAAGGAAACAACAAAGCTAGAAAAAGAGGTAAAGTGAAGAGAAACTGTTGTATATTTATACGTAATATTTATATGTAATCATCATATCCCGTATCGTGTGGAATTTTCTCGTAAAATAATGCTACATTCATCCGGTATACCTTTGCCTATATGGTGGAAACACTTTCATGGCATAAGGTACTTTCTATTTCCTTGAAAACCTGCGTTTGTCATTGGATTCCATCGGTCCAACATTCAATTTTCAAAATCTAGACCAAAGAAGCGATATGGTGTGCTTCGTACATGTACATGTATTTTGTAATTGTCTTTTTTTCATCATTTGCCGGGTTCCATAAGAATTTTACACGCATCTCCGCCCATGAGCGCCTGAAAGGCGTCCTCATATTGCGTCATCGGCATTTGGTGGGTAATGCCGACAAAGGATTTCTTGGTTTGAAGCGATATACAATATGCTGTCCACTAAAACTGGAGCTAAGCTGTATCAGTAGCTTAACACAGGGTATGTACATAAAAATGGGCTGCGTGACTTAACATGTAAATTTGTTAAGCGATTACTTTTTATCAATGGCAACAATATTGTAAATTAATACTCCGTGTGGCCGCACTAGTATTGAACTAACCACATTGAATCCTTTGCTATACACTCACCTATCAGATCAACCGGGACATCGATTGTTTCTAAAGTAAAAGAAGGCACTGGTTCTCGCTTTAATAACGCCTTCATCTGACGTGGGATTGGTTCTTCCGTCATGGTCAGTAAGTTGACACAACAAACTGGACACGACTTAGCTAACGTGTTGTACAGCGCAGGATGGACGGAAGACTGGAAAGTGCTTTGAGAAACCCAGTGAAGTAGGTCAGGGACATGTTACCCCATAGATAACTATGGAAAAGGGTCAGAGACAAATTACTACATAGATAACGATACCTCTTATAATAAAACAATGTTACTTAATTCAGGTCATTTTAACGACACTAAAGGTATAACAGTTTAAATGTTCCATCAATAAAAAAATAATTAATCTCTTGGCGTGGTGCACTCACGCGTGATCTGTGTTTTTAGACTGCACCAGTTCTAGTTCCACGCACACGCTTTCGATTTTAAATGTTGTTGATGTGTTATAGAATTCTCCTTACTTTCATATTTATCGGAAGCATTTTTAATATAAGCAGCACTGAGCATAGTTCTAGCTAGACACCAAAGATGATAACCAAAACCTATCTAAAAACCAACTTGTAACATAACATAACATATATAACATTTTGACAAACTCATCGCAAATTGTTGAAAATCCAAATAACATGTTCAATACCCAGACAATCTGGCAGTTGACCTGATGCCGCCAGTTAGCTCGATTGCGGTCCAAAATGGCTCATGTCTAAACAGACTCTGTGAAAATGTCCATATGTTGCGAAGTGCTTTGCTGAAAGTATAACTATCATTTAGTCCCTAGCTGACTACAAAAGCACGCCAGTTTCAGACATCATTCACAAAACATGTTTATGACAATATGACACGTTTCTTCGGTTCATACATCAAGTTCTAAAAACAAAATGACTCTGATATAATCAGTAAATATACGTTGATATACCGGCATATATCTGCTCGATATTAAAAAAATTGATAGAAGTACACGTATTTGCGCAAACCTTTGTATTACCCAACAGCCCACAAAGAAAAATAGCAAAGAAATTTTGTTAGAAGTGTTCCTAGTCTACATGTTAAGTTTTTTTTCGCTGAAACATGTTTGCCCACTAATATATGTATCTTGCTCTGACCAGAACATGTCACTGTTATTACATCGTAGACAGGTTTATCATGTAAAGCAAAGCCGCTTATGGATAAACTGTGACACTACGACCTTTGGTTGTTAAACATTGCACCATTCACCGTTAACATCTATAATTAAGACCTACCATCTAGGAAGATTTTCAATGATCGAAATGAAATCATCTGTGTGTCTTGTTCTTCTTTCACTCAGCTTAACCACGAACTCCCAGGATACAAATGGTAAGAGCAGCAACAAAGAGGACTTGCTACGTATTCTTCATTTTTCTGTGCATTCTCGACTCTGTCTTTGTGTGTGTGTGTGTGTGTGTGTGTGTGTGCGTGCGTGCGCGCGCACGCGCGTTTTCGGGATTTCGATTCCGCTTTAGATGCGTCTAAATATTTAACGTGATCAAGCGAGTGGGTATCCGTGTTTGTAAATGTCACAATTATAATGGCAATGTTAGCAGGCTAAATGTGATTTATTTTAGTGTGGTAAGTTGATTTGGATCTTGTGACAAAATATCACTGTAAATTTTTAAGACCCTTAAAAGGGGTTCCAGCTATTTGCTCCAGTCACACCCCAAATATTATTACCTCCGCCAAGGTTATGTTTTCACCTCTGTTTGTCTGTCTGTCATAACTCTGTTTGTTATCAACATAACTCAAAACGTTATGGACCGATTTTGATGAAAATTTCAGGGTAGGTCAGAAATGGGTTAACTTAGAAATTATTAGTTTTTGGTGGTGATCCGGATCAATAATCAATCAATAATAATCAAAAATCGCTGCCTTGGCGGAGGTCTGCGCTCTCGGAGTGCTTTTCTAGTTGGAAATAAGCTACTGCTTGGGCATTTTTCTCCTCTTCGGTGGGTCTCTGATTAGTATTTTCAAAGGGACCCGATTTGATTTTGGTAAACGAGAGATACAGTATTCTGCCCCCCCCCCTCCCCCTCCTCCTCCCCAACCATCAACCCAGTATCCGCCAATGATTTCAAAGCGTGCATCACCAATTCAAGAAACAGCATGGACATTCAGTTTCCTATTCAAAACATAGGAAATGTCTCACGGGCTGTAAACCTGGTTTTTTACTTTTAAAAAATCTATCGCAAATGTTTCTCTTCTCCTCAGTATGCCCAGCAGGGTGGCTATATTGTGGAGTCACTGGCATGTGCTACCAGTTCAACTCGAGAGAAAACGTGAAGAAAACCTGGTCAGCCGCTTTAGAAGACTGTGAGCAGAAGGGTGCTAACTTGTTATCTTATCAGTCAATGGCCGAAAAGGTAATTTAGGACACATCTGTCCTCGATTGAAATAGGAGGTGGAGTTGTCATTTGCTAAATATGATGGAATATTTGGAGAGCTATTATAGTATTGGTTCGACAGTAGATAAATATGAAACAGACTGCAATATTTGGTACTCTGATTTGCTCAAAATGTGAAAAACATGCCAAATATGCGCCCTTTCTTACTCAAGTAAACGACCTTCCGACAACATTAGCATTTTTGTCTTATTTGGTCTTTAATTTATATACATGTACCAAACCGGACACAAAAATTCAAATCGTGCGATGAATAACAACACGTGGTAGCCGCTTTCAGCCCTTTCATTCTCTCATTCTGAGAGCAACGCAACGTTAAAAACATTATTGATTTTACAATTATTACGTTTTCTTTTCTGATTTTCTATGACAATTTCATTTATTTATTTTTTTTTAATTTCAGTACTGGGTCCTCTCTAAAATGAAGTCGTCTGCCTTCTGGTGCGGACTAAATGACCTGCAGACAGACGGCAAGTGGATTTGGTCAGACGATACCCCGTATGACGCGAAAATTGTGTAAGCTACGTGACATAATAAATTATCAAAGACAAGATAACAATGGCAGCTTCCTCTCTTAGCTTCTGCAGTATTTCCTTCGCTCTCTCAATTCTTTCAACCACATCGTCAAAAGCGCAGGGGAGGGGGGGGGTTAACGTAGCCTCTGGTTGCTATTTTTTATGAACACGCTTTTAGTAGGCTGCCAGAGAATTACATTGCTTAAGAGCATAAATGCATTTTTAAATTTTGAAGTTACTTTTTTATCACATATAACAGTTATGTTTAAATAATTATTTTGCGCACGATTTATCTTTTGGTTGATGTTTGACAGGCCTATACACACAGGTCGTTAGACATTGTGTTTGTTGAGACAGTGTTGAGATTTGAAGCAATGCCGATTATCATTGATCGTGAGGTGACCACTAAATGTCATTTTGAGTTGACATTTATGCTTTTATGAAAAGTTACTTCACATCCTTTTCTTGTTCCATTTTATGCAGAAATTGGGCGCCTGGAGAGCCTAATAATTGGGGCGGCAACGAAGATTGTGCTATTGTAATCGGCAACGCTCAGATGAACGACCTGAGCTGCGAATGGAAACTTCCCTACATTTGTAAAGGACCAAGAGGTACAAAGAACACTTCGTTGTTCTAATTGAAATAATATAATATTGATAGACATGCCCCTATCTGTCTGGGTACCTAGTTCGACTTTAATTTATGCCTATCTCAACTTTTTATCTATCTATCTACGTGTACTTATAAAATCCCCCCCTCCCCATTTTATTGTTTTTACGTAGGATGTTGTTGTGCCATTTAGTAACGAAAGCCACTATCTAGTTTTTCTTTCATTCTTATCTTTTCAGTGTAGAAAACTACAATGGACGGGTTCAGCGTTCGAGTTGTAGCGGCCAGTCCCTAAACTAGCCACTGCCAGTTGCCTTTCACAGCTGTCCCTTGGAATAGCTGTTTTTTTAAATTCTGCTTGTTCATGAAATGATGAAGTGGGTTAAAATTTTGTGTTGAACTATTTATATTTCGATGTCTATTATACATGCAACTGCATAAAAGTTGGAATAAAGGAATATTAAATTATTAATCGTAGTTACTAATTCCTAAAGTCTACCGTAAATGGATTCCATCCCACAAACACATTCTATACAACTTTTAACTTAATGATGATGAATATGATTTAAGCGCAAAATGTTTAGGGGGAGGGGAAGGGAAGGGGAGGGGAGGGGAAGACCTCAACTCGATTCCCGAGCCCATGGGTGCTTGTAAATATTATGTTCGGGAGAAGCCTATACAGGTCATCCGGTTCTCCTACGATTTGTTTTCATTACAGACTTTGAAAATATAACAGGCGCCTGTCATCTAATTTAAATCGTTTCTTAGTCTATCTTCCCTGAAATATTCACTATTTTGAGATACTCCTGCGCTAGATTTTTGTAGTTTTTTTTTTCGTAGTTGAGTGTATCTGTTGGGAGACTCGGGTGTAAAGTAACAAATACAGAGGACAGTCTCCACACTTCGGTTTAAAAAAAAAAAGAGGGCCTTGGAGCTTCGTGTTGACCTGCTGATGCCAAGTTATTGAAATTTATATTTACCGTGCTGAGCGTGGTCAGCTAGAAGCAATGAGATTTCATGCTTTAACGGTCATCTATCTAAATATCAGTCTTTTTAATTAACTGTGGATTTAGATAAAAGTCACATGAAGTGACTTGCAGCTCTGAAAGAAAATAAACAATATTGAACATTTTTGTGAACATATGGTAAAGCTTTTCTTGGAAAATTGGGGTGGCCCTGATAAGGGCCGTTAAGTTGTGAAGACAACAGAGAAGTATTTACTTCTTAGCAGCCTTGGCCTTCTTGGGAGACTTCTTCACCTTGGGCTTGGCGGCTTTCTTGACGGCCTTCTTGGGAGACTTGGGCTTCTTAGCTGCCTTAGGCTTGGCAACCTTGGCCTTCTTTGGAGACTTTGCTTTCTTTGCTTTGGCAGCCTTCTTTTCGCCGGCGGGTTTCTTTGCCTTCTTGGGGCTCTTAGCTTTCTTCACCTTCTTTGGTTTTTCGGCCTTGGGCTTCTTCACTTTCTTGGGCTTGGCTGCTGGCTTCTTGGCGGCAGCACTGAGCTTGAAAGAGCCAGAGGCACCCTTGCCCTTGGTCTGAACAAGCTTTCCGTCAGCAACAGCCTTCTTCAAATACTTCTTGATGAAAGGTGTGATCTTCACGACATCTACCTTGTAGTTGGCGGCGATGTACTTCTTGATGGCCTGGCCGGAGGAGCCACCGCGTTCCTTCAGAGCGGCGATGGCAGCGACGACCATATCAGCGACCTTAGGGTGGGCAGCGGGTGCCTTGGCCTTTGGCTTGGCAGCTTTGGCTTTCTTCTGTGGTGAGGCGGGAGCAGCATCGGCCATTTCGACGACTTCTTCTTGTGGAAAATCCGCGTATATCTTCTATAGTCAGTGACGTTAAAAGGTATGATTAAGCTGGTGTATCGCGCCCAAAGTTAAAGCGTGCGCGCGGACCTGTTAGAACACACCACCTCCAATACTACGAAAATTGCAATATGGAGTCCGCCTTTAACTCAATGTGTGCTTCTTTGTCTAATAAAGATGAATTTTTATGCATTACATCAATGAATGCTATATAGAAGGTTGACTTTAAAACAAAGTAGACAAGTTGATGATTCAATTTTGAAAATGTTAAGTATATGCGACAGTCTGTTCAGGGAATATATCAATGGTAAACCGACGAAATACCTGTGACATTTAGATTAAAGCGTAATAAAACGCAAAATTTTCATAATTTATGTGTATAACCCTACTGAATTCCCATTGATTATCAAATTACAGTATATTGGAATACCATTCGTAAAAAAATAGTAACTCTCCGTCAGGTTTAAGTATTTTATTTCGAATATTTAGAAAGTGGTAACAAACACACTCATCCACTCGATGGCCGTCAAATCATTTTAATGTTATTGTCTCTCAATATCATATTTAGACAGTTTTCGACGTTTCCGTCTCAAAAATGCACCAACTTGACATTGTTTAAGTCACTTGGGAATAATTTTGACAATTTATAGAATATTTTGACATTGTTTAGTATTTTAATGTGAATAAAATAAATTTCCCATTCATTTCATTGCTAGCATTATGCGATGCATCAGCACTTGAAGATCACGTAGCATGGCGAATATGAAATGGTACCATATCTTTAAAATTTGAGTAATATGGTCTTTATTGTAAAAAATATTAGTAAATGGGGGTGATGAAGACGACACCAAACAAAATAATAACCACAAAGTATACGTAGAATGCTACTTTGGGCTTTTTGAAGGGCTAAATCACCTGCTGGTGTTGGGTTACCGAAGTCTGTTTACCGATATGAAAACAGATAACCCAGTTTGAACTCTGGTTTTATCCATCTCATTCAAATTTCCTTACACATCCTTCTGTTGTTGGCAGATCTTGAAAAAAAGTGACAAATTCACGAGCCAAGGTGAGAATGAGCAATTTGATAAATTCTAAGATATAGCTTTTAGAGCGGAACAAGAAAAATGTTGATTCGTTTCATGTACGTGAACGGTGTCAGACCAAAGACCCGGTTACATTGAATACAAACACTGCAATGGAAAATGATCAACGCAATGATTATTTGTTTATTAATTTCAAGAAAAAAAAAGAAAGAAGATAGGAGAGAAGGAAGGAAGGAAGGAAAGAAAGAAAGAAAGAAAGAAAGAAAGAAAGAAAGAAAGGATAAGGAAAAAAGAAAAGAAAAATGTATTCCATTTTCTCATGTCAGATCGCTTCATCCTCCTCAAACAATAACTTACAGGCCTATTGCTAATAGTTGTTAACTTATAAAACAAAAAAAAAAGCTTTTTTCTAATTGACCCTTTGAAAACATCTGACACCTGATTTTTACTGAAGCCTATTTTGTAGACTTGTAAAGAGTCTTTTTTTTTTTTTTTTTTTTTTTTTTTGCATTTTTTCAGATTTTATACAAAGTTTTAAAAATGTAGGTACAGTTGACGTTAACAGAAATTAGGGGGTGGCGTTATTATTTTCATATTTTGGTGGGTTTTAATGGGTAAGCTTAAGGTTAGGGATTGACAGCTTATATTGTAGTTTTTTATTTATTATAATTGTCTCAGAATAGACATCGAATGGTAAAAGTGTGAAGTCAAGTATTTTGTTTCAGATTTTATTAAAATATATCTTCATTTTCAAAGCATACAACAGGTACATTTTTATTTTAAATTTGACGTTTATTTGTTTACGATAATTCACCCGTGGCGATATAAACAGTTATGTCAATAGACCTAAACGCATGCTTGCATGGTTAGGTTAGCTGGATTTGGAATATAGGCCTAGGTCTGTTTACATCTTTTAATCGCGTTTAATTGAAGAATTTGTGAATTTGAAATTCAGCATTAGCTTTGTCAGGAAATATACATTTTGGTCAAATAGAAAAATAGATCTAAGACAGGTCATTAGACCGGGCATTATAAATAAAGAAAAAATGTGACGCACGTCCTTGCATTAGGCACTGAGTAGGCTAAATAGGCCCCCTCGAATCGATAAAGAACAAATAATTGCATCGGCTAAATGAGATTCAGCTTCCAAATGTATTTTTAGCTATAATGTAAGAATCCTTTGTATAAACTAGAAGTCTACAGCAGGATAAAATGTAGGGCCTACGTATTTACGCAGCTTTTACTAGAACACAATCACGTACAAGCACTACTACCACATTCCGGGACGTTTCACCAAACATGTGCGTGCGGATTTATAATACAACTTATCAGGTAACATTAAGTCTTTTAGTTAATAAAATATCCCATTAGTTTTTGAAAAAGTGATACAAAATGTATTGAACATGACCTTGTGTATGTTAGAAATTGAATTAATCACAAGGATAGATTTTGTTAGAGATTTTTCTGGAACTAATTTTTGTGTATATACATCCGTTTTTACTGCAGTGCGGTAACCACTTCCGATCAACATGGCGGTGGTGAGAAAGAAAGACGGTGGTGCAAACCAAAAGTTTTTCGAGTCGTCTGAGACTATTGCACAGTTTGATTCAGTTCGGACATGGCTTCACAAAAACTGCAAGAAAGTAAGTTTGTACTTCGACCCTCGTTTTGCAAATAATGGCTTTACTTACATATGATGACTTGTATTAAAATATACCGGTCCCCGTTTGGAATGAAAGTTCTTTGTTTTCACATGATATTTGAACTCCATTTACATACATTTGCTTTGTGAATAGCGGCTTTATTTTGCTTAACTTAGTAGCACTTATGCAAGTGTAGTAATATTAGTTATTGTACATGTCAATTTTAGGAAATAGTATTTAAAACGTGCGTTTCATAGATAGCAACTTGCAACCAAGAAAACAAATGAAATGTCAGAGTAAGACTGCCTCTATCAGTAACACAGATTTAGAAGATCATACACTACTTTTTTCATTCACTTGGGGGATGTCAATTTTGAATTGTACTTTGAACATTATTTCCCAACTTTTCTATCAGTGTCCAGCATGTAACAACCCAACTAAAGCTCTTGTTTTATATTTTCAGTACACACAAGCAGAACCCCCTACCAACAAAAGCTTGGCCAGTTTAGTGGTACAGCTGATACAGTTTCAGGAAGATGCCTTCGGAAAACAGGTCAAGGCCCCTCCCCTTACCAAGCTACCAGTGAGTACCCCAGTCCCACCCACACATGGCTCCTTATAAAGTTAAAGCCCTTCATAATACATTCATTTTAAGAGATAAAGCTATTTTTATGCCACCAGGATAATTATAAAAAGATGGATTTGATTATAAAAATAGATTTGATTTTAACAGTTCTGAATTGAAATTACCAAGACTTGTCTTGGTTTACATAAGTGCATATTGTTTTCAAAGTGATGATTGATAACCCAGAAATTAATTAATGCTATCAGTCAAAATTATCTTTTAGATAGAATATAAAAGTTCACATTGATACAATAAACTTAATTTATTTTTCAGATGAAATATTTCCTGGACTTCAAGTCTGGAGGTGCTCTATGTCACATACTTGCTGCAGTGTACAAGTTCAAAAGTGACCAAGGCTGGTAAGTTGTGGGGTTTGACTGGGAGGGGTTAAATTGGGTGTGGTCACTAAGCTTCTTTTTTTTTCTTTCTTTTTTTTTTTCTGGACGTATGGTAGCGCTGAACATTATTTACTACCTTTAGATGTTATAGTAAATGCATTTTGAAAAAATATTTTGTTGTCTTGAATAGTTGTATTCCATGAACTCTCAGGTTTTTCAGTTAAGTAGCTAACAGTGAGCTTGTGCGTATGAATGTTTTTTGCCTCTTACTGAAGATCAGCATAGCATGCTAATGAAAATAAAAAAGAGTTGAATTGTCATAATTTTTGTTTAAAATAGAAAAAAAAAAACAATGCAAAAATAATTGTTTATACCAACCTCCATTTGTTCTACACTTCATTCCTATGCCACTTCCAGGAGAAGATTCGACTTCCAGTCCCCCTCGCGCATGGATCGTAATGTGGAGATGTTCATGCAGATAGAGAAGTCCCTAGTGCAGAACAAGTGTCTTCTGATCCCCAGTGTGTATATCAAGTCTTCTATGGAGAAATCTCTCAGTAGTAAGCTGAAGGATATCATTACAAGACACAAGGGGACGGTGGTGGAGGATTCCGATGAGGCCACACACATTGTGTATCCTCCCACAGAGAAAGAGCCTGGTAAGGGTCTTGTTATCACTCTTTTTACTTCATTGTTTTATTCACTGATAGCAAGAAGTGACCTGCTGTTTGTGCTAGGTTTGGTTTACTTGAAGTCACAAGTATAAGACGTGTGCACTTGAACAGGCCTTGGTTAATAGTTATTATTGCATTTAAAATCAAATTTCTGCCACCAACCCAACTAAATGCCACCTTACAGTTTAAAATACCATAACTTAGAGGAATACCAAAGGATATTATGTCATGTTAACCCAAAAAATGATATTTGAATGGATATTTTCTACTTGTTTTCTGTGCTGTTAAGAACTGAGGCAAATAAGTAATTTGAAAAATGTCAGTTTAAAGCTCTTTAATGGCTGATCAAGCGATTAATTTGGTTTGTCCCTTGGCATGTCCACTATATTCGAGTCAGAAACAAGTAGAAGTATTTATATGCATTTACGCTTGGTTCAAATGTATCTTTTATATTATCAGTCTGTGATATTGACTGGTCCCACACCAAATGCCAACAAAATCAAAGTCCAGCCGGTCTAGTTAAACTTTGCAAATCTGTACAGTTACTGTGCTCTGTTTTTTTGCATTTGGGCAAAAAAAATTTGGCACAATCTGTATTTTAATCATCATCATCATTATTTGCAATGTATGTCCACTTGAGTAATGTATTGACATTGTCATTGTTTAAAAATCAGTCATTTATTTATTTGTTTATTGTTTTCATTATTATTTTTTACTGTTTCAGAGGACTATGTCAGGCCTGTGATGAAGAGAGATAGATGTACCATGGTACACTGGTGGTACTATCCAGACAGGTGAGGACACTATAGAACTTTATGATATTAAACTGGTGGTACTATCCTGATAGGTGAGAACACTTTAGAACTTTATGATATTAAACTGGTGGTACTATCCAGACAGGTGAGAACACTATAGAACTTTATGATATTAAACTGGTGGTACTATCCTGATAGGTGAGAACACTATAGAACTTTATGATATTAAACTGGTGGTACTACCCTGACAGGTGAGGACATCATCATAACAGAAGATTGAATTATGTGAGGTCTTCTAAATCAGCGCGGAATTATCACTTACTTACATTGTAAATATTTAACTTTGTGTGATGTTTGGAATGAGATTGAATGGTCAGGTAGTTACATTATCTATCATTAATTTTATTATTATTATTGTTGTTATTATTATTTCATATAGAGAAATGTTTCTTATATTCTATTTCAGTTATGATACATGGGTGACTGATGTCCACATTGATCAGGAGCCTGGATCTCCTGCTTTACCAGAAACTGCCTGGGAGGTGAGAGAACTGCCAAATACAACACAGTGCCTATGCTTAGCATTCTAAAACATTGCAAATTATTTTTTAAGGCGGGGTAATTATGAAATGTGCCAAATACAACGCAGTGCTCATTGCTCTACTTTCCAAAACCAGCCACATTTTTATTTTTCTTTTTAGTATTTTTTCGACCTTTTTTTTAAGTTGTAAAGGAGTAAGATTTCAAATATAAAACATAAAAAAGTTTTGAAAATATGAAAAATTGGAATATACCAATTGCAGTTGGGGGAGGAGGTATCAGTTGAAGAGTCAAAGTTTTAGTACAAAACTATAATATAAAGAAGGTAATAATTGTTTGGAATGCTTCCTTATACTGATTATTCTGATCAACATTTCATATTATTTGAAAGAAATAAACAGGTTTGAAGTTTACATCACCCTAAAGGAAAAGCATTGAATGTCTGGCCTTCTAGTCATAGCGTGAAAAAAATATGTCCTAGGAGTTTTTCTGGTTTGAAGTGATCTGAGAATCAGGGATTATATTTATTTTTTGTCTGCAGGTTAATGGAAACTGGATTTTAGACCTGGATGAGTTCAATGAATGGATGAATGAAGAAGACTATCTGATTGATGATGAAAATGGAGTAAGTTATACTTTACATATCATTATAACTGATATATACTTTCTCAAGTTGACTAACAGATATGATTGCCTCTAGTTAGTAGAATAGGATGATATAAATGAAACATACGAAAGTTGGTTGCACCTTTTTTGTGCATTTTTTTTTTCAAATATAATTAGTTAGTCTTATATAACTGATATTTATTTTTTGGTTGATCAGAACAATACCTGTCTTCACAGTGGTTATTGTTGAATATAATAACAGTGCAGATACTCATTAAGAAAAAAGACAGTAACAGGCAATCAGCACAGACAATATTAATGCACAAATTCACACACTGTAGCACCTAATAATTTTACATACATGATTTAAAGGGATAATAACTCTTCATTTTGGCCAAAAAATGAATTTTGCTGGAGTAAACAACAATTTTCCCATACTTAGTAATGGTTAATGAATCCATTTTTTATTCAAAGTTAGTTCCTGTTTTTTTTTTCTAAAAAGTTTGTTTTTTTGTTAAAATCTCTTAAGAGATTTTTACAGAGCATAGCCATCAATGGAGGTCAAGTGGTCTAAAGACAAGCTCAGATATCAGAATAATAGTTATAACTGCCGTTTTTGTGGTAAAACAGAATATATTATATTTCTTTGAGTTATTCACAATGTTTTTATTGTGAAATATATATCTCATACGAAGAGTTATTATCCCTTTAATATAGCACCTTCATTTTGCCATCCTCACCCTCTCTTTGTGACTCAAATACAGGAGTGGGTTGAGACAAATCTTCATTCATTTCCTGTTGCCAGCCATTAGCTAACTTAGACTTTCCCAGAAAATCAACATATCTAATTAGCACCATGTCCTCAACAGCCAACGATCATCCTTTTGGCTTTCTTCTGTGGTGACTGAGCCCCCTCAATGTTATTGCCAGAGAACTTGTGTGCTTCTAAAAGGCATGTTCGTAACCTTGATAAATAATTGGAATTGGAAGAATTAGAAGTGATATCAGGTGAGATGGTCTGTAGAAGACCCACTTGTAATCAGGGGGGGGCTATCTTTTTTAATTCAAATCGAGTTTGTTAAGGTGACCAAAAACAGACGAATACAACACACTTATTCATTTACACCCATACATATATGAATTGCTTGGGTGTTATAATTATGTGTATTGTATTCAGTGACCTCAAATGACTTATTGAGATGCAATCATCATTACACTATTGATTTTCAGTCTGAAAGTGGCAGCAGAAAGGGCAGGAAACAACGTGTGAAGCTTACTGTAGAGGAGGTAAGTTCAATTCTAACACCTGGAAGAACTTTTGGAAACCATCACTAAAATAACTTTTAAAAAGAGAGAACTAGGTAAGTCAGGTTAATCTGATATTTGCTTGTGTGTGCTGTAATTGAGTTCCATTTATTTAAGTTGAAGTTTTGAAATTTACAAATTATTTATCTTGTGCAGATTGCTCCAAGTCCGGACCCAGACAGAAAAGAGAAAAAGAAAGGGAAAAGAAAGCGCTCACCTAGTCCATCATCTGACAAGAAGAAAAAGAGGGGGTAAGAGATTTGGGTCCTTAATTGGTCTTATAAATTATGGTGCTTTTAGATCAGTCACCTTTGGTGAATAAATGTTAGTTAACAGCTAAGATGGGTGGTAGTATATATTGGGTTGATGTGACTAAAAACAGGCACGCATGCAGGTGGCCCAGTGCCTATAAGACATATATAGTCTTTTTGGATTTTTGACCAGAGAAATACAAATGGGATTTTCTCTCATCCCCAATATTATAGAGCTGGGGGCCTTCAACTTTTCCATTTTCCAGATGTTTCTTAAAAGGTTCACTTTCGTCTGTGCATTTCAGAGCTGCAGGGAGGTCCACTCCATCCAGTAAGAAGAAGGCCACATCGTACAAGGATGAAGATTCGGAAGATTTGACCAAAGACATGGAGGACCCAACCCCTGAACCTAACATTCAGGAAGTTCACATTCCTAAAAATGGTACATTTCTCTCTTGAGTCAGATTTTTAAAAAATATTGGTCCTGATTTTCTTACAATTGTAAGACTGAAATGTCTTAATCACTTTGCTCCAGTTTTTTATTTTTGTATTATTTTCTTATTATTTATTTTTAGAGTAACTTGGCCAAAAACACACTGTTTCATAGCACACAAATAATAAGATAATTAGACAAATATTGTTTGGATATTTGAACACTTTACTAAAAAATCACTTTTCACTTGAGACATGAGACATAAATACACCAAGAGATGTCTCATTATAAACTGTGATAACTATTTCATAAGCTTTTTAAAAAATTAGGTAAAATACAAGGTTGCTTTATTGAAATTTAGATTTTGTTCTGTAAATGATGCATTATTGCAAGAGATATTCTGGTAGATTTCAAAGAGAGTTTTATTTCTGCAGCCTCCAGTTCACGGAGTGGCAAGGACAGTGAGCTGCAGCCAATCAAAGGCGGAACTCTTATGGATGTGGAGGAAGATGCTGATGGGGTAGGATATTGTGACGTTTTTTGAGCAAATGGAAGAACATAAAAGTACAACAAAATAGAAAAAATTAATACTCAACTTGTAATATTTTATATTATTCTCATCATTATTATAATTTTTTTATTTACTTGTTTGTTTGTTTATTTGTTTGTTTGTTTGTTTATTTTAGGTGGAAGAAAACAAAGAGAACACAGAGGATGCAGGAAAGTCCATGGACCATGAAGAGAATGTGACAGAGCAAACACACCATATAATCATCCCCAGTTACTCTGCCTGGTTTGACTATAACAGTATACATGCCATAGAAAGGAGAGCTCTACCAGAGTTCTTTAATTCCAAAAATAAGTCTAAAACACCAGAAGTGTAAGTATGCTTACAATGTTCAGCTTAAAAATAACTGTTTGGCAAATAGACCCACAGCAAGTGATACAACTTCTCAGGTCACCAGGCTCAGGCAGATGGTGAAAGACAAAAAACATTTCTACCACAATAATAACAACATTTGTCAATGAAAAAATTTGACAAAACTATCATTTTTATGCAAACGTAGCGTGACATATGAGTAATTAAAAATGAAAGGAAATTCTATAATTAAGGAAAAATATTCATTTAAATATTTTTACTTTATCTGTACCTTCAGGTATATGGCCTACAGAAATTTCATGATAGACACTTACCGTCTGAACTCTCAGGAGTATTTAACAAGTACAGCCTGCAGGAGAAACCTGGCTGGGGATGTGTGTGCTATTATGAGGTATGTTGGGGGGGACATAGTGCCATCTTTGACTGGTAGTTAATTATAGCTATTGCTCTGGAGCTGGAATCATACCAAATTCACCCCCCCCCCCACCCCACTGTCCCCCTCACAGTGAGGCATCTTTGGGGTAAGGTCTAAACATCTTGGACAATTTGGTTGCTTGAGAAAGCCAGTTACTTGGATTTCCTACATTATGTGTTTTGCTTTTTAACACAGACGTTAATTTATTTTACCATTTCTTTAGCTGTACTTTTAAGGTTTAATCAGCTAGTAGATTAACTGTATGAAGATGTATGATAGCCCATTGTAAACTAACAGAAATTTTAAGATCTGTCTCTTAATTTTACATGCATTTCTTAGTTAGTTCACAATTATTACAAGTATATTCCTTCAGTTTGATATAAATTCTTAATTTATGCTGCATGAATACTTAAATTAATAAATTGTGTATTATTGTATATTTTAAGATTCCAATGCATACTGTATATCAAGTTAAATGTTTGAACTACAAAATATATCCATATATTATATTTTCAGGGTCCATGCCTTCCTGGAACAGTGGGGTTTGATTAACTACCAGGTGGATGCTGAGAACAGACCCACAGGGATGGGGCCACCCCCCACCTCCCACTTCCATGTGTTGTGTGACACCCCCTCTGGATTGGGGCCACTCAACCCACCCAGGACCAGCCAGGTAGGGGGAAAACTCACTAGAGAAAAATATTATTGGATGGCAAAATCTAACAGTCAAGGAATAAAGGAATGAATGAAATAATAGGAAAAAAGAAAAAAAAGGAGCAATTAAATTCCTTTGTTCACTGTTTGAATGTCATTGTTACCTTCAAGGAATGAAAGTTTATTTATTTATTTATTTATTTATTTATTTATTTATTTATTTATTTATTTATTATTTCCTAATAATTTACAAAAATGGGGGTTTTTGTGTTAAATATTTAGAAAAAGGGAAACCAATGCAAAACCAGATTCCTTTTTAAGCATTCTTTATTTACGACACTGAACGTTTTCATCCATTTTTTAGCCATCCGCTGCCAAACAAGTGATGGACTTTGACAAGAGCAAAGAAAGAGAAGGTGATGAGAAGAGAGAAGGGCAGACATTTGGACTGAGGACAGACACCTATGCCCAGAAAGCTCTCAAGGTAACTATGATGATTTTAAGTCCTTCTCACAATCTGGGGTCAGTTTTGCAAAAGAGCTTCAACTGGAACCTTGGCAGAAAATTTTGTCTATTTTAGTTTATGATAAATTCATGGAAGTCAACTCTGATAAAGTTAGAAATAGTGTAAAACATTGGGCATCAATTCTTGATATAAAGGAGGCATTATATTTAAACAACATAACTACTTATTTGTCTTGGGTAAAGTTTAACTAATAATGGTAGAAAAATATAGACCATTTCAGATATGTGTGATGGCAGGCGGTGTGAATCATTTAGTATTTATTTACTAGATAAAAATTGGATTATAGTTTGTTTTATTTAACCAGCCAGAGTCTTTTGGGAATATTTTGAACTTTTTTTGTTGAATAATTACAAAATGATGTTTACCTTTACAAAACCAAATTGCACCGGCAAATATCTACCCTATGTACCAAAAATCCCAACAATTTTGTATGTCAACACAGCCAAAGCAAAGCTTCATACTAAAGTATATGTCCATTTCTAGGAGAAAGGCGCAGCTACCAGGACCCGGGACTGGACAGATCAGGAGACCCTGCTGCTACTAGAGGCTCTCGAGATGTATAAAGACGACTGGAACAAGGTTTGCGAACATGTAGGATCGCGCACCCAGGATGAGTGCATTCTTCACTTCCTGCGCCTGCCAATAGAGGATCCTTACCTTGAAGATGACGGACCCTCACCTCTTGGTGAGTCACTAGTCAAATATTCATATGCAAAATTTTTTCTTGAATATTTTTTCTGTCTGTTAGTAGAATATAGTCATAGTAATCATATATTGTTACTAGACAACTAAAATGTACATATTCCTCTATTAGGGTTTAAATTTCAGGTTATATTGATACCTTGGGACAAGAAAAAATAGATATATCACACTATGACAAAATAGAGGAAACTTACTGAGACAAATACCCAAATCNCCCCCCCCCCCTTACTGTCCCCCTCACAGTGAGGCATCTTTGGGGTAAGGTCTAAACATCTTGGACAATTTGGTTGCTTGAGAAAGCCAGTTACTTGGATTTCCTACATTATGTGTTTTGCTTTTAAACACAGACGTTAATTTATTTTACCATTTCTTTAGCTCTACTTTTAAGGTTTAATCAGCTAGTAGATTAGCTGTATGAAGATGTATGATAGCCTCATGTAAACTAACAGAAATTTTAAGATCTGTCACTTAATTTTTAGTGCATTTCTAAGTTAGTTCACAATTATTACAAGTATATTTCTTCAGTTTGATATAAATTCTTAATTTATGCTGCATGAATACTTAAATTAATAAATTGTGTATTATTGTATATTTTAAGATTCCAATGCATACTGTATATCAAGTTAAATGTTTGAACTACAAAATATATCATTAGATAAATCACCCCTTCATTATATTCTCTGAATCTGTGCCATATTTGTAGTATATATCAAAATGAATGTAATTTACAAATGAATTTAACATATAAAAAATTAATTTATGAAAAGATTTAACTGTTGGCTATAAGGTGTAATAAATAATCATTATATTTATGTATTATATTTTCGGGGTCCATGCCTTCCTTGAACAGTGGGGTTTAATAAATAACCCATATATCATATTTCCAGGATCCATGCCTTCCTGGAACAGTGGGGTTTAGTAAATAGCCCATATATTATATTTCCAGGATCCATGCCTTCCTGGAACAGTGGGGTTTAATAAATAATCCACATGTTATATTTCCAGGATCCATGCCTTCCTGGAACAGTGATGTTTAATAAATAATCCATATATTATATTTTCAGGGTCCATGCCTTCCTGGAACAGTGGGGTTTGATTAACTACCAGGTGGATGCTGAGAACAGACCCACAGGGATGGGGCCACCCCCCACCTCCCACTTCCATGTGCTGTGTGACACCCCCTCTGGATTGGGGCCACTCAACCCACCCAGGACCAGCCAGGTAGGGGGAAAACTCACTAGAGAAAAATATTATTAAATGGCAAAATCTAACAGTCAAGGAATAAAGGAATGAATGAAATAATAGGAAAAAAGAAAAAAAAGGAGCAATTAAATTCCTTTGTTTACTGTTTGAATGTCATTGTTACCTTCAAGTAATGAAAGTTTATTTATTTATTTATTTATTTATTTATTTATTTATTTATTTATTTATTTATTTGTTTGTTTCCTAATAATTTACAAAAATGGGGGTTTTTGTGTTAAATATTTAGAAAAAGGAAAACCAATGCAAAACCAGATGCCTTTTTAAGCATTCTTTATTTACGACCCTGAACGTCTTCATCCATTTTTTAGCCATCCGCTGCCAAACAAGTGATGGACTTTGACAAGAGCAAAGAAAGAGAAGGTGATGAGAAGAGAGAAGGGCAGACATTTGGACTGAGGACAGACACCTATGCCCAGAAAGCTCTCAAGGTAACTAAGATGATTTTAAGTCCTTCTGGGGTCAGTTTTGCAAAAGAGCTTCAACTGGAACCTTGGCAGAAAATTTTGTCTATTTTAGTTTATGATAAATTCATGGAAGTCAACTCTGATAAAGTTAGAAATAGTGTTAAACATTGGGCATCAATTCTTGATATAAAGTAGGCATTATATTTAAACAACATAACTACTTATTTGTCTTGGGTAAAGTTTAACTAATAATGGTAGAAAAATATAGACCATTTCAGATATATGTTCTGGCAGCCGGTGTGAATCATTTAGTATTTATTTACTAGATACAAATTGGATTATAGCTTGTTTTATTTAACCAGCCAGAGTCTTTTGGGAATATTTTGAACTTTTTTTGTTGAATAATTACAAAATGATGTTTACCTTTACAAAACCAAATTGCACCGGCAAATATCTACCCTATGAACCAAAAATCCCTACAATTTTGTATGTCAACACAGCCAAAGCAAAGCTTCATACTAAAGTATATGTCCATTTCTAGGAGAAAGGCGCAGCTACCAGGACCCGGGACTGGACAGATCAGGAGACCCTGCTGCTACTAGAGGCTCTCGAGATGTATAAAGACGACTGGAACAAGGTATGCGAACATGTAGGATCACGCACCCAGGACGAGTGCATTCTTCACTTCCTGCGCCTGCCAATAGAGGATCCTTACCTTGAAGATGACGGACCCTCACCTCTTGGTGAGTTACTAGTCAAATATTCATATGCAAAATTTTTTCTTGAATATTTTTTCTGTCTATTAGTAGAATATAGTCATAGTAATCATGTATTGTTACTAGACAACTAAAATGTACATATTCCTCTATTAGGGTTTAAATTTCAGGTTATATTGATACCTTGGGACAAGAAAAAATAGATATATCACACTGTGACAAAATAGAGGAAACTTACTAAGACAAATACCCAATTTATTCATATTATTTATTTATTTATTCCCCCTCCAGGCCCCCTGACATACCAGCCCATTCCATTCTCCCAGAGTGGAAACCCCATCATGACCACGGTGGCCTTCCTAGCTTCAGTAGTGGACCCCAGGGTGGCCAGCGCCGCCTCCAAGTCTGCTCTAGGTGAGGAGGAGAAGTAGTTAAATGTAGTGGAATTATAAATTTGATTCCTCTGTAAATAATAGTTATTACATCTTTTTAAATATCTGAAACAGCATTAAGTAATTTTATGAAGTTTGTTTACATCTCTGCCTCTAGCTAAAAAAGTTGAAAATTTAAAATAAGTAGCTTTATCTAGCCTAATGTAATTTGATTTGCAAATGTATGTCTTACTGAGGTTCTGAGTCAAATTTCCCAAGGCTTGTGCACTATTAATTTAACCTATTTCATATAACATGTCATGCAAAAGTTAAAATAAATTCTACATTTGTGGCATTTTTTAAATTCTAAAATACATATGCATTTCCTATTTAAGTGTTTCTTAAGTATTTGAATATTTTTTCAAATTAGCTTCTGTAACCTGACTTCTTCTTTTCCAGAGGAGTTCTCCAAGATGCGTGATGAGGTGCCGTCAGTGCTGATAGACCAACACGTCAAGAACGTGGAGCAGGCAGTGGCGGAGGGCAAACAGGTCAATGCAGACTATGGATTGGATAAGAGTGGGATTGCTGGCACCAGTATGGAAAAGGAAGGTGGGTTTTTTCTTCTGTTTGGGGATTATTTTTTTCCACTTGTGTAAAGGAGAAAATCAGTAAATATATTGCTGGGTTTTTTATGAATGTTCAAAAGCAGTGAAGGCTGAGAAGGTTCAAAGAGGCAAATTTTTTGTTATTTCTTCTTCAGAATCCTAGTTATATTTCAATCTCATTAAGGCAAGAAAGATGATTAAGCACTTTCAAAAATGCATTTGAACAGATAAGATTTATGATAAACATTTTAGTCATAAATATAGAAAAACTGGCATTTTGATGGTCTTCGAATGTTAATTTACTGATTTATCTTGTGTGTCAGATGATTACATTACTAATAATCAAGTATGTTTTAGAGCAGTGCTTTTAAACCTTCATCCCTTAATAAAAAAAGTTTTTCACAATATTAATATTTTCATCGAAATTTCAGAAATTCCAGAAGGTGAGAAAAAAGAGGGGAAAGAAGGAGAGGGAGAAAAGAAGGAAGAGGAAAATAAAGAGGGAGAGAAAAAGGAGGAAGAAGTGAAAGAAGAAAAATCTGAAGAGAAGGAAGAAGACAAAGTGAAGGTGAGTTCTGTTGGTTTTTATGTCATAATGAAAAATTTATGCTTTTTAGATTTTTTACACTTTCAGGTGATGATCTTAGAGCATTTTACATATTAATTGATGGGCTTAAGAACCAACTTCGTTAATATAGGTCATGATAAAAATTCTTGAGAAAAGCTGTGCTAGGTAATTTCATAACATTACTTTAGTAGGTTTCAAAATTCTGCATGACGGAGATGTAACGTGCCATCAACCTTCCATTACATCCCGTGTACCTAACATCTGTTATATTTTATTTACAATTCATATATTTTCAGGAAGAAGCCATGGAAACAGACCAAGAAGATCAGAAGCCGGAGGAAAAGGAAGGAAAGGAAGAGAAAGAAAAAGATGGAGACAAAGATGATCAGACAGATGATAAAAAGGAGGTGAGGCAATGTTTTATTTTAGATAGTACCATCACTCCTCAGCTATATGGCAATTCTTTGTATTAAAAGCTTCTTTGATTAAATTGTATATTGGGTTTTGCCCATCAATAATAATATCAATAAATATTGTGTTGCTTCATGTTGTTTGCCCTTATTTAAGAAAATCTACTTAAAACATCAAATAGTCTATCAAAATAGTTCCAAAGTATATAAACAAGATCTCATTGGCTTGCTGTGATTCGAATGATTGTATAATTCCCTTTTAGCACACTTATGTTAATGCCCATAGACATATCCAGGGGGTAGAGTTCTCCCACCATCCCCCTGAAAAAAAAAAATTTAAAAATCTAGTAGAAATTGTTGAAATAAAAAGCAGTACATAAATTATTGAATACATTTAAACAAAAAATTGAAAAGGCTTAAGAAGAAATGATGAAGCAAATGTTCTCTTATGAAATTATGTTATGGCTCACACAATCCATTTTTCTCGAAGGAAAAGAAGGAAGAGGAGATGCAAGGAGATTCTACAGTAAAGACAGAAGGAGACGGTGCATCCACAGAACCTTCCAAAGAAGTAGCAGTCAAAGAAAACATCACAGAGTCCAATATACAGGCAGCAGCTGCAGCAGCACTGGCCTCAGCAGCAGTGAAGGCAAAGGTATTGGAGTTTAAAGACTTATTCAAGACTTACTCAAGTTCTTTGAGATTGTAAGTCTTATATTTTGTAAAATGAACTTATTTTAAAAAAGATGTAAAAATATCCATCCAAAAATACATAGATTTAATAAACTCATTTTTAAATTGATGTAAATTCATCCATCTAAAAACACCAGATTAAATAAACTCATATTTAAGTTGAAGTAAATTGATCTACACAAAGTTTACAAAGTTTTCTCATGTTATTTAAAATTTTGTGTGTCTTTCTGCAGCATCTGGCAGCAGTGGAGGAACGCAAGATCAAATCTCTGGTAGCGCTATTAGTGGAGACGCAGATGAAAAAGCTGGAGATTAAACTGAGACATTTCGAGGAACTCGAGTCCATCATGGACAGGGAAAGAGAAGCTGTAAGTCTTCATTCAATCTAAGATTTCGTGAAGAGATTGTTTGAGAACTATAATGATGTGTAATTGAAAGTTGAAGATTTGCCACTTGTTTTTGTGGAATGTGTGAAGGATTGATTCCCATACAGTAAGCAAAGAAAGAGGTAGTAGTGTGCACCACTAACACCCCATTTCCATAGATTTTTAGATCGATCTATCCCTGTGGGGAGTCTCACTAGATTACTGTCAGCTTGGCCGGCTTAAGCGTCTGTCCCGCCTGCTAAAAGTTGTAAGGGGGTAATTCACTTTGGTGCCCGCTCGGCTGACTGCAATTTAGCGTGAACCCCCAGGGAGTTAGGTCGATCTAAAACTTAATCTTTAGATCGATCTAAATCTCTGGGAAAGCACCCTAAGTCAGCAGATGTTATTTAAAACCAAGACACAAAATTTAGGAGGCTGCTTTTGGGAGGCAGTAAGGTTTCAGGGTTGAACAGATCCCAGTGCAGGTTGTAGAATACCGATAAAGGTTGTGAAGCTGGCTGAACTTGTGTAATGCAGGGATGAGATTTTTCAAACGATTGGCTAATTAGCGACTTTTTTGGGTGGTGTTAGTGGTTACAACAGTTATGAGATTTTTCTGACTATAGGTGGATTAACGACTTTTGGAAGCCAAAAAGTCTCATACCTGTAAGTGATGGTATGAGGCATCAAACAGATACCTTTATAACTTTGAGATCGTTAGACAGTATTTAAGAAATGAGAGTGTATCTTATGTCATAAAAGATAGCTTGTAAAAAAAAAGGATGATAAATTTACCATCAACAAACTATGAAACCACTCATATTTTTAGCTGGAATACCAACGGCAACAACTTTTGCAAGAGCGCCAGCAGTTCCACATGGAGCAGTTGAAGGCAGCCGAGTATCGTGCCCGCCAGATGGCAGCACAGCAGTTACAGATCGAGAAAATGCAGCAGCAGCATCAACAGTTCCAGCAGCAACAGCAGCAAAGTTTGCAGCAACATTCTGCACCATCCTCGTCCCCGGCACCACATCATTTAGGTGCTGGTGATCATGGTATGTATTTTCTGGCTTGGTTTACCTGCAGGTTGGCAGGGTTGTGTAAGGTGAATTTGCTGGTGGCTTCATGGCCTTTTCATGGACTTTCATTGTCAGACTTTTCTTTTGTTCTTTTTTCAGATTTTTTTTACTAAATTTGTGAGAAGCCTGACTATGACTTTGTCATGAAGACATCACATTTTAATTTGCCCCATGAAAGGTTATTTCATCTTTTTGTCATGTGTTTCTTATTTTATTCTGACAAGATTTTACACAAATATTTGGTGTGGTATTACTGAATTTAATGACAGAATTTAGCTGAATCAATTCTTTTGTTTAGTATCACATCACCCTCCTCCACCTGAGGCACCCTCAGCCTCGGCAGTACCGGCGCCACCTGAACCAGAGGAGCAGACACCACCAGTGGCACCACCCATGCCATCAGCACCACAAGATACAGCACCACCAGCACCAGTGGAGCCAACAGGTAATGTCTACTGCAAACATTCCACCTGCAGTGCAGTACAATTCTTTTTCTGAAACTTCTAACATTTTGCAAAGGTTTGTGATAACTTTGTTGTAGAGGAATAAAAAAGTTTAAGATCAGCAATCCCACTTTCTTTAATTTCCCCATCTGTACAGCTTTTATGGCATCAGAACATTATCATTAAATTTTGATTCAGTTTCATTGACCAAAAATAAAAAAAATTCCTTAAATTGAGACCTTGAACTGTATGTGTTTCTCATTTCCAGCACAAGAACCCCCAGCAGCACAAGGTTTACAACAGGAAGAAGCTATGGAGACAGACTCTGCCCATCCACTGCCCTCTGAAACCATGCCACAGACTCTGCCTACCCAGTCATAGTAGAATGGTGAAACGTGAATTTATACTTACTAGAGGCTTGCCATACCAAACGTAATAGAAACCTATACACTATGCACCTGCGCTATCAGATAGAACTTTCCACACATTATGGGTACATAGCTCAGTTGTGAACAAGAAGTAATACAAATTGCTGTCACTGTGCCACGCCTTACAGAATTTAAGTAGCTGCTCCAGTTCTTCTCTACAGACAATTTGTCTTAATTGTCATAATTTGACTGAAAATAATTCATACTTTAGTGTATAACTGAGATGGCAAATGTCACAGCCATTGTGCTGTATTGTCACAAGTAATGCAACTATAACAAAGCTGAACATGCCAATAGTGTGCTCTCACAACCTGCCCCACAGTACCATGGACTGTAGATGGCAGCAGTATCTGAGGTATTAATACAAGCCCCATCAGTGTCATGAAAGAAACAATAGGTGTGCATCATCCATGCCCTCACAGGAAGTTCCTAAGGTAGGGGGGAGCGTTATCATCAAGAAGTCTAGGCTTTTTCATCACAGTTGTTCTGTATTTCATTTAAAAGCCTGTCCACAAAAAAAAAACATGAATAGAAATTTCTCTTGACTTTGGTGAGCATTGTGGAATTTTTCCCTAAAGAACAACTTGGATGTGAATGTGTGTTGGCAGATGTGAATCTAGTTAACCCTCGTTATTTGTCGAACTCTTAACTTCTAACAAATGAATTAATGCCTCTGTATTGAATATCAGTTCCATTGCACACAAAAACAAGAAAATCCATTGTATGTGATTGTAAGTTGTTCTTCCTTAAAGAAGGCTTGTTAACTTCATGACACAATTTAATAGAGCTATGATCATGAGTGGCAGCAAAGGTTATGTATAGGTGACAGCAGCTAGTAATGGGCTCTTCTGATATGTAGGTGGCAGCACATTAATGGGCTCTTCTGATATGTAGGTGGCAGCACAGTAATGGGCTCTTCTGATATGTAGGTGGCAGCATTGTGTGGAGTTGCCTCTATGGGAAAAATTAGAACAACAAGATTTCTACCACTGCTCCAACCACCAAGGAAAGAAAAAAAGCATCAACTTTTCTTTAAAATTGGCCTGAAGAAATTTTCTCAATTGCTTTCGTCATATTCTCAGTTGAGAAGATGTGAATGTTGTCATATTTTTGTATTACTGTATTCATTCTGACTTAGGATAGTTATAGGTGCTAATGATAGTTACTAGTGTCTATGTCTTGTAAAATATAACTGCCATTAGTTATGTAGCATTTGCATTCGGGATGATCAATAAGACTTGATATAAATGTTTGTCAATAAGTACATTTTTACCCAAAGTACCACAGAATGGTACAACTTTTGTATGTAGATACATAGAATTATTATCTATAAAATAAACTGGTAACGTACAAGATTTGTGATATTTTTCAGTTTTGTCTCTCTGTCTTTTTCTTGTTGTCTGTTTGAAATTAACTTAATTGTGTATTTTTAATGGGAAAAGACTGCAGTGATGTGTAGTTTGACTTGGAAGTGAAAATTTTGATTTTTAAACCGTGAGTGCAATCTTGTATCAACATACCTCAGTTCTCAATATTAATTAAGATTAATTTATGGATCACCAACAAAATCTAATGTATTCGTAGTAAGTTCTTTTTTTATACAAATTCAGAAAATTTTATCAGAATCGGTCCATTTTTTTAGTTGGGTTTTTAACTAATATTCCAACAAAGGCAATAACATAAACACCCTAGCAAAGAGAATAAAATGAAAGGATTTTTTGAAAGATACTGCAAAAGAAAAAATTAGCATGTCCCCCAAAATATATGTTAATAAAGCACCTGTAAACTAAATTCGATTGCAGAGAGTGCTTTGAAAAAAATGACAGCTGGTTCAAAATTAGATAAAAATAAATGTGCATGTCCATTTGTTTCAAGTGAACTGCAAGATTACAGTGTCATTCACAAATATTAAGGTCCATTAAGACCATTAACTATACGTGGCCTTCTATGGGACTAGAGAATCTAGATTACTGGTTGCACCTGGTTTGTGATAAGGGTGAAAAAATTAAAATAAATTCAGCCTTGATCCTCATGATAATAATAATAATACTTAATAGCCATCCTTGGATAATTCTTTTGTGCAGTAAATATCACTATCATCATGCAAACAGGCAATGGCACTACTGTAGTTACTCTTTTCTCCAATAGATGTCACTGTCGTTGGCTTTAATTGGGGTTTCACTGGGTTTCACTAGTTTCTCTAGAGAACTTGGCAGGCTTCACCTGTCCACAAAGAGCTGCTGAGAATATTACATAATCGTCCATTTGCAGATTGACTGCAGACTGAAGGCTGCACCATGTCTTGTCAGTAAGCATAAAACAGAAATTGCCTTATTGACCAGTGTTTTTTGTTGCCGCAATGACCAAAAAAAAAAGAAAAAATTCTAAAAACAACTGGACTTCTGCCAATAGTTTAGCCTCTACATCTTAGTGATATGACTATATTTTTTTGCAGTTTTTTCTTTTATTACTATCATAATTATTCTTTTGTTTATATTTTTTGGTATAATAAACAAATAAATTTTTTTTTT